TTTTTTTTTTTTTTTTTTTCCTTCTTCTTCAAGTTTTAAATTGGAAGGGGGGGAAGTTTAACTTGCGGTCGATGCATTTTCGTCGCTTAATCCCCAAAAAAAAAGAAGGGGGCGATAGGTATCCTAATCCACAATCCCATTCGAAAGAAAATCTTGACAACACATCAGCGCACCCATGGAAAGGTCAACATCTCTCTCTCTCTCTCTCTCTCTCTCTCTCTCTCTCATGTTGTTTTCTTCTCTCGTCCACAAGAAAATAATGAGTGTGACAGACTGTTTCGTCGAGCTTTCACCGACTCATCAGGAGGTGTGTGCGTGTGTGTGCGTGTATGAGTGCGCATGTGTAACTACTCTCCCCTTTTCATATATATATATATATCGTCACAAACAGAACTGCCCGGTAAACCGTAGGCAGAGAGAGAGAAGAAGACAACAAACGAGGGGCTGTGACAAACTGTTTCGTCGGAGTTTCGCCGACTCATATATATATATATATATATATTTCTACTTTGATTTTGGTTAAGGTAGATTATCATTTACAGTGTAATCAGTGAGGGGTTTCTGCAGACTGTTGTGGGTTCAGCCTCCTGATGAGTCGGTGAAACTCCGACGAAACAGTTTGTCACAGCCCCTCGTTTGTTGTCCTCTTCTCTCTCTCTGCCTACGGTTTACCGGGCAGTTCTGTTTGTGACGATATATATATATATATTGACGATATATAGTAAATAAATATCCGTGCCCTCGAGCATCAAGTCGTTGTAACCACAATGCGGGGAAAAGATGCATGCACATTCCAAACGTCAGGCGGATAACAGATTTCGGACTATTAAGTGTTACTTAATCAGACGCAAACGGATTCACTTTCCCTCATTGTGCGCATGAGATTCACACACACACACACACACACACACAGATACACACACACACACACACACACACACGGATACACACACACAGATACACACACTGCGGATCCCCTCGTGAACGTTCTCAGACCAGGGATAACTACCCAGCCACTACCTTCTTCACCCGAATAGAACGCCCGGTAATTATGGCCGTATCTGGACTGAAGCTGCGTCAAATACAGGTATAATGACCGGGCGTTCTATTCGGGTGAAGATGGTAGTGACGGGTCCCCACACACTGAACACTGACCAGGAACCGAATGTGAACCCCAACGCGTCAAGGCAGGACAACCCTCAGGGCCTCGCTGCACTACTCTCGAAAAGTGCAAAACGAGAGTGAATCTTCCGCTAAAACATAGAAAGATGCACGGCCATGATTTTTGTCTTTTGTGCATGTCGAGAGTAGTGCAGCGAGGCCCTCCGTCTCTGCCACTCGTCCCCTGCGAGACCTCAACMCCCCCCCCCCCCATGATGGTGCCTTGGTGGAACAATGGTCCCTTTACCCCTCCCCTACCGTTAGTAGAGCCCCTGGTAGCATTGACTAGGGTCCTTCCCTCTCTGTACACCGGAATGCTCCCGTGAGTAGTACCACATGTGCCAGCACTGCTATCTCCCTCTCTCTACACCGGAATGCTCCCGTGAGGGGTACCACATGTGCCACCACTGCTCATGTCTGCATTATGCTGCGTATCTTGTGTACTAATCAGCATTGATAAGGTAGCTGACAGTCCTATCCCTGATGCAATTCAACCTGCGGCCCGTGCGGCAGGGGTCCGGACCTGCCCCTGCCCCTCCCATCCCATCAGTCACAGAGCGCGTAATCCACTCAATATACAGGTGCAGAGCCTGCAACCCCACCCACCTCCTCTCGCAATTGAATGGAGACCCCATCTCTATACAGGTGCAGACCCGCCAACCCCACCCACTATGCAGGTGCAGACCCGCCAACCCCACCCACCTAGTATGGCCTCCAAGGACATACCCCCCTCCGTGATGTGGCGCCGCTCCCCCTTGCCTCGCGCC